TAAATTTTTAAATTTATAAATTCTACTGCACTAATTCAAATTCTTGCAATCACAAGTTTTCTTATTTTATTGTTTATATTAATTAATACAATAAATATAGCAGAGAATAATAAATATATTTTATTCGTCGTTGATTCTCAATTGACATTGCATACAAAAATGGGACATAGTATTTCTCTACAGAAGTCGAACATATACGTGTATATACATGTATATGTCAATATAACATCTGTCTATTATGTTGGTCCATGCAACTATGGCATATTTTACGTTTTTATTTGTTTGTGCTATTATTTGAAACAAAATTTAAGACACAAACTGTAAAATTTGTACTTTAATTGATTTTTTGTGAATAAATGTCTCAATAAACACTTAACCACGTTAAATTATAAAAAATTGTAAATTATACATATTGTTATCTAAAAGAATTGTTATCTAAAAGAATCTCACAATGTTCAATATTTTTACAATTGTATATATATTATATACTAATATGCGATTGTTAGTGCACGGATGTACTTTACTCATATTGTACGCATATTTCTTAAAACATGATGACAAAAATAGACACAGATGCAGGCTCATATGCTACTCAAAACACGGACATATGATATCTTGAAACTGTTTGTAAAAAATGTCATTATGAGTATACATAAATATGCTCAAATTAATATAATTACTCACATTTTGCATCATATGTATATAACTTGCACTCATAATACTTATATAATGCTCTATTTAATTATCTCCATATAAAAGCAAAGCTCTTATTATATATCTTTGTTCTTTTATAAATGCGGCAACAACATTTGTTGTATACACCAACATCTAAAAAAATTAATTAAACATGAATATAAAGACGACATGTAAACAAAAATGTAATTATAAATTAGAAAATGAGAAATTGCACATTTCTCTTCTTTCTATACATATTTAGTGTAATTTAAATAAGTAATTTTCAACCTTTCTAATTGTTAAGACTCGTCCCCAAATTAATGATCGATTATTAATAAGACAATTCGGGTAATCCTTGTATTTTATGTAAAAATTTCGTGCATTTTTTAAATTATTTGTGACGCTGTAAACAATTAAAATATTACTTTAATCATTATGAACATTTTTATTATAAAAAATTATATATGCATGCGTATAATAAAAAAAGAAAGATTATTGAGAAATAATAATAATGTCGATTCTAATATATATCTATACTTACAATTCTGGTTTCCAAAATATATAGAATTTATTTTCAATATCTAGTACATCGCAACGTAGACCAAGTCTTCTAGCCACGCTATGAAATATTGTATATACAATGATATCTTGGCCATGTTTACTTTGTAAAACCTGTGCCAGGTATAATACAGGATAAATTAGTTAAAGCGACAGAATATTACGAACAACATATAGCATATACATATATGGCTCATAATTATATATGTATTATAATCTATAATATCTTACATAATCTATACACAAACAATTGATATGTACGCGAAAGGACTTGCAGGGTCGAAAGTTCAAGGTGCCAAATATATATTCCTGGAGTGTATCCATAATCTGCGTACTTTCTGTTTCATTCCAATGATTATCTTTGATATTGTTGGTTTTCCAATAAGGAAAAGTTTCATCAGACGTGGAGAATATTGAATGGTTCGGATGCTTCTTTCTAAGAGAATTCAGTACTTCTTGTGCGATTGTATCCAATGATGCACTTACATTCGTGTAACATACATCTTTTGAGGTTGAATACGTTGTACTATGAAAGTACAAATTTCTTCCAAAAGCTGTTTTTTTTTCAGGTTTCACACTATATCTGTCTTACTCATTTCGTATCCAAGATAGCTTTTCATAGTGAGACATTTCTATATTGCAATATCTTTCAATTGATTTGCGATGAATTCCTCTAAAAAATTTGTATATATTGAATTATTAACTAATGAATAAATACATTAAATTGTAATAATAGTAGCATTATAATATATATGAAGATCCTACTGTGGAAATTGTGTTAACAAGAATTTAATCTCCTTAATATAAAACATATTTTTTAGCACATCTATATGCTCATGTCCTTTTAGGAACAAGAAATTGATTTTTATATTCATCGATATTACCGCTAAATTTCATGACATTTTCGAATGTTAATACATTAGCAAATAAGTCGAAATAATTTTGATTTGCTTTATTTTTGTAATAATAATCGTAAAAAAGAATTAGAGACAGATCATTTCGCAATTGAATCACAGAATTCATGCCTTCTGTAATAAAGTTTATGTTTTTTCCATCTTTTGTTTCCTTAAGACTTTCATATTTTTTCTTTGCATAGGGCCATCTAAAATACGACCATAAAATATTGTAATAAATATTTGATAATGATACTAATTGTAAGTGTTGTGTCAAGATTAATTTAAAATTAGCTAGATAAAGATGAGACAAAAGTATGTAATTCATCTTAAATAGGATAAAGATGATTTTGTTTTAAGTATATCTAGACAAAATATATAATTATATGGCGATATATCTAGATAATTGTTAATATTTAAGATTGCTTACGTAAACACAGTTATACAAAACATAAATTATAAGAGGAATACAATAATATATGTATTTATATTTTTATTTATAAATTTTTATCGCTTTACTGTCTAGTTTAAGTATTTTTAAGTGCAATGACTCTACACCAAAATGATCTAAAAATTATTCTAGATAAATTATATAGTAAAGATAATAATTTTTTTATCTAAAATGCAGATATAAAGATAATTTATATTTTTACTATCTATATGCAGATAAGATGACGCCATAGTTTTTCCATTTAATTTTATTCAGATAACACATAGCAAATTTTGATGATAGTAAACAATGTGATTGCACAAGTCATGTTTCAAATTAATAAATTTTTTGAAGTATACAATTCAAAGCATGAGTACATGTATGTCACTTCTTTATATACTTTAATCATAAAAATAAAATATATAATATTCAATTTAAATTTTTAATTATCTATGTAAATATTTATTTTTGAACTACATATTCCTAAAAGTATATTAAAATTATATTTTCAAATTTTGACTTTAATATGTATATTGCGTAATTCTATATGTGTATTCTACATGCTATTAATAAACATTAATGTTTGTGTGTGTGTATATTTAAAAATTTTTTAAAATAATTTTTAGAACAATTTTTCCGAAAACATATTTACATTCAATGTCGACTGTGTTTATAAATGTTACTTGGCATGCTTTTACTTTTATGAAGATTTTATTATGATTTCAGTTATTTATTTGAAAAACCGATAAAAAAATATCAATCCTGTTTGTTTCAATCACGAATATATATCAAAAATATAATCTTTATTATATAACTAAATATATTTACTAAACTAAATATATTGAAGAATACACATTAAAATAAATATACAAAGTTGATTTTACGTTACATTTTTAGTAATTAAAAATCTAAAAGAAATTATTTAATGATTAAATCTTCTTCGACCGATACAGGCCAATTAATATTTATTTAATTAATCACACAACGTTTCCTAGAATTTCTGTTGTTCGCAAGTGTACCGTCAAGTGTGCGAAGGACCAAAATTATGGTCGAAACTTTGTGTGATTAATTAAATAAACATCATTCGGCCAGTATCGGTCGAAAAATATTTAGTCTTTTAATTTTTGACAGCCGAAAATTAAGAATTTTTATCAGTATATTATATTTAACTAATAGTAGATATCTTGTATCGCCAGTGATGAATAAAATTAAAATTAAATGTGAGACGACCCAACTGGCTTAAATTAATTCTTATTATTATTCGTTTGATGCCATGTACAAGAAAAGACAACGTTTCGACCTTAGGTTTAGGTCCTTATCAAGTCTAAAATTAACATTAAAAAATACAATAGATGTACATACAAGAATTTTGATTTTTAAGAAAGTAAAGCGCAAACCAAGATTATAATAACAATTTAAACGTACCTTACAAATTCTTAAGTGCAATATATAATTAATTTTGTTCCATTTTACATATTTCAATATAAATATTGTGTCACGTAAACGTTCGGTATGGATGGTAAAGACGAACTAAGTTAAACAGCTTTGATTATTCTATCATAGATCGGATTCAAATTCTCTGTGTCTTTCTGTAGGTTGATCGTGTTATTAAATTTTTTAATAAAAAACATTTCAGCAATCTCTCTTTTCCTAGTGTTTGTTTCTCGATGTAAAATATTTAAGTTTGTCCATTTAAAGTCATGCGAAAAATCATTTCTATGTTTGCTTATAACATTTTGATTGCTGACATGCATTTTTATATTATTCATATGTTCTTTAATCCGAGTATTAAGGTGTCTTTTAGTTTGTCCGATGTATGTGGCGTCACAGTCATTGCAGTCAACTTTATAAACTATCTCGGTCATATCGGCTTTAGGTAATTTGTCTTTTCGGGGTTTAATAAACGTATCAAGTTTTTTTGGAATCGTATAAATAACACTTAAGCCTGTTTTCTTAATAGATCTCTCAATAGTCTCACTTAGGTTCTTAACATACGGCATTAAAATACAAGACGAAATATCAAATACATTATTTTTGTCAACTACGTTATGAGAATTTTCTAAAAAACATGTTCTTTTATACATATATCGCTCGATGACCGTCCTAGGGAAACAATTATTCAACAAGATTTTTTTAACCATCTGTAAGTTCTCATTATGAAATCGTTTATCCGATAACAAAATAGCGTGGTCGACTAAGTTATTAATCGTGTTAACTTTGTATTTAAACGGATGGTTAGAATGGTAGTTTAAATATCTACCAGAGAAGGTAGGTTTCTGGTACCAACTAGTCAATAGTTTACCATTGTTTCTAAAAACCAATGTATCCAGAAAGTTAATCTTGTTATTTATCTCTGTTTCATGTGTAAATTGCAAGCGGTGATGGTATTTATTAAACGTAGTCAAAATGTTATCCATTTTATTGCGTGGTACTATTGCAAAAATATCATCAACGTACCTATAATAAACTGAAATGTCAAATTGTAAAGAGCTTAAACATTCTGTCTCAAGATCAGCCATAACTAAGTCTGCTAAAATAGGTGAAAGGGGGGATCCCATTGGCGTACCATGTATCTGTTCATAAAATTGATCGTTGAAACGAAAACTGGTAGATTCTAATACAGCGTCGATTCCATATAAAAATTGTGTCAAACTAAAATTTGTGTTACATGAAATATCCTTCCAACGTTTTTCAATAGCTTTTAAAACTAATTCCTTAGGAATGTTTGTGAATAAAGAAGTGACGTCAAGAGAAATTAACATTTCATTATCTTCAATACTCAAATTCTTGATTTTATTCGCGAACGTCCAACCGTCTTTAATATGTGAGATAGGTTTCGTAATTGATCGTTCCAATATATCATGTAAAAAACGCGCTATACTGTACACCGGGCTCCCAAGTGACGAAACAATTATACGTAAAGGCGCGTTAACTTTGTGAATTTTCGGTAGACCGTAACATCGAGGAAGGTTCCCATTTGTGGTATTAAGTCGTTTATATGTCATTTCATCAATCAATTTATTATCTCGCCATGATTTGATTAAAGAATTGATTAAAGAATTGAGTCTCACCGGAACCGGAAGCCTGTAACAAAGTTTATGTTTTCTTCATTTTCTTCTTCTTTAAGACTTTCATATCTTTTCTTCGTAAAGGGCCATCTGAAATACGACCATAAAATATTATAATAAATTTTTGATAATGATACTTAGTGTTGTGTCAAGATTAATTTAAAATTAGCTAGATAAATGTGAGATAAAAGTATGAAAATTCATCTTAGATAGGATAAAGATGATTTTGTTTTAAGTATATCTAGATAAAAGATATAATTATATGACGATTTATTTAGATAATGGTTTAGATAATAATTTTTAAGGCTGTTTATGTAAACACAGTTATACAAAAAATATAAATTATAAAACGGATACAACAATATATGTATTTATATTTTTATTTATAAATTTTTATCGCTTTACTGTCTACTTTAAGTATTCTTGTGTGCTATGATTCTAAACCAAAATTATCTGAATATTATTTTAGATAAATAATATAGTAAAGGTAGTACTTTTTTTTTTATCTACTTGTAAGATGCAGATATAAAGATAATACATATTTTTATTATCTATATGCAGATAAGATGATGCCACAGTTCTTTTATTTAATTTTATTTAGATAACAAACAGCAAACTTTAATGATAGTTAACAATGTGATTGCACAAGTCATTTTTCAAATTAATAAATTTTCTAAAGTATACAATTCAAAGCATGAGTATATACATATATGTCACTTTTTTTTATACTTTAATCAAAAAAAGAAAATATATAATAGTCAATTTTAATTTGTACTTAAATTTATACTTTTCAAATTTTGATTCTAATATGTATATTGCATAATTTTGTAAGTGTATTCTATATGCAATTAATAAACATTAATGTGCTTATGTGTATGTATGTATAGATTAAGTTTTTTTTAATATTTTGTAGAACAATTTTTTGGAAAGCATATTCACAAACAATGCGTCAATTTTGCTTATATATGTCACTTGGCATGTTTTTACTTTTATAAAGATTTTATTGTGATTTCAATGCTATTTATAAAAAAGAACCGTTAGAAAAATATCAAATCTGTTTGTTTCTATCACAAATATATCATATATATTTTTATATTTAAAAATGCATTTAAATATATTGAAGAATACACATTATAATAAATAAACCAAGTTACTTTTAATTTGTATTTTTAATAATTAAATCTAAAAAAAAATTATTGAATGACTGAATATTTTTCGACCGATATATATATAGGCTAATTAATATTTATTTAATTAATTACACAGCGTTTCATATAATTTTTGTTATTGTCAAGTGTTACTGTTAGGTGTGCGAAGGACCAAAATTATATGGTCGAAACACCGTGGTCGAAACATTTTGTGATTAATTAAATAAACATCAATTGACGAATGTCGGTTGAAAAATATTTGGTCTTTCAATTTATGACAGCCGAAAATTAATAGTTCATATCAGAATATTATATTTAACGTTTACATTTAATATATATATATATATATATATATATATATATATGCATATGTTTATTATATATGTATATATATAACGGTAGAGTTTGCCAAAATTATTGAGCAATAAAAAAAATGAAAGCGAATAATTTAATATGCAACATACCTAATTTTTCTAATATTTTGTATTTATTATATATTTATAATATACGTTCTTCGCAGAAGTGATATACATTGCGCGACAGGCGTTAATGAGACAAAATAACAAAAAGATGTACAAACCACAAGAATTACCTTTGAGATAACTTTTTTTCCAAGATTTTGTCATATGTGGCTGCATAACGAAATTGTTTGCACACGCATCAAAAGTTGATGATATCTTCAATAGTGAGTACATTATCGTCGAGAATGTGGCTTATCATCTCCTCTGGTAAGTACGTTATCTTACAATCAGACATTATGAGAAACAAAACACAAAAAAGGAATGTAAATTAAAGTGATTGCATTAAACTATTCGCGTAATTAATTCCTTGCTTTTCGCAGTACAAGAAATGCGTCTGCCGATTACGAAGAGCACAGATGTGTGTTTGATGTACACGAGAGACGTTTTCCACACTGTAGACGTTCTGTTCTTTATTATAAAATTTGACCTCAAATTTTAAAGCCTTATTGTTTGTTTTCACTAAGATACAGGTATAAGGATTTGTTACGACATGCGCAGAAAATGTAATTTAGATCTAGCAAATTTACCAGTTTTTCTTATGCGCTTAAAAGATAGAACGTGGTAAATAATTTATTTATTATTTATTTTATTATCACTATTTATTTATTATTTTTTATCATTTAAGCTTAATTAAAATAATTTTTTTTCAAATATGTCAATTATTTTAAATTTCCATGTATTTATATTATGTATTATTTAAGTTTAATTAAAATAATATTATTTCAAATTATTAATTATTTTATTAAATTTTACTCATTTTCATATAGTTATTTTTACACTTTACAAATGCAGTGCTGTGCATTGTGTCGACTGTTTATTTTAATTTGGAGTTGTAATAATTTTGTGAAAATCATGGATACGAGATAAATATGGATCGCAAATAATATGAGTTTAAAACAAAAATGAAAAAATACTTTTACCTAACGCGTGGCGTTTATTTTTTGTTCAAAATACAAAATTTAACGTATTGTTGCACAGCAATCTTAGAATTGCATGAATTTACAATAAATCTGCAATTATACTAATATCATACAAAATCTAATATCATTTATAAGCTTTTCTCGTTTCCTTCAATACAAAAGAATTATGTATATTTCAAAATATATAAATCATTGTCTTTTATTAACATATCTATTTATACTTATACAAATGCAACACTATCGATTATAAAAGTTTCAAAATAATATATATTAATAAATGGTAAATTTTAATTATGTTATCTTTTGCATATACTTAAAGTATTTAAAAAAGTTCATAAATTAATTAATTTATCTAAATTTTTAAATTTATATATTCTACTGCACTAATTCAAATTCTTACAATCACAATTTTTCTTATTTTATTGTTTAAATTAATTAATACAATAAATATAGCAGAGAATAATAAATATATTTTATTCGTCGTTGATTCTCAATTGACATTGCATACAAAAATAGGGCATAGTATTTATCTACAAAAGTCGAACATATACATGTATATATTTATATGTCAATATAACATCTGTTTATTATGTTGGTCCATGCAACTACGGCATATTTTCCGTTTTTATTTATTTGTTCTACTATTTAAAACTAAATATAAGACACAAACTGTAAAATTTGTACTTTAATTGCTTTTTTGTGAATAAATGTCTCAATAAACACTTAACCACGTTAAATGATAAAAAATTGTATATTATACATATTGTTATCTAAAAGAATTATTATCCAAAAGAATCTCACAAAGTTCAATATTTTTACAATTGTATATATATTATATACTAATATGCGATTGTTAGTGCGCGTATGTTCTTTACTTATTACAATCAATTTGGTGTAATCGCAAAGTTTTTATTGTGTTCCGTTATAAAATCTATAACAGTATTTTTTGTTAACATCAACATCTAAAAAATTAATTAAACATGAATAAAGACGACATGTAAACAAAGATCTAATTATAAATTTAAAAATGAGAGATTCTACATTTCTTTTCTTTCTATATACATATAGTGAATAAATGTCTCACTAAACACTTAAACACGTTAAATTATAAAAAATTGTAAATTATACATAATTGTTATCTAAAAGCATCACAAAGTTCAATATATTTTTACAATTGTATATATATTATATAATACAATTCATGATCCGTTTTCTGTTTAAATTATACATTTTACTTTGACTAATCCCAAATCTGTTATTTCATGATTCATTATAAACTTTTCAACGAAATTTTTTAATATCAACAATATCTAAAAAAGCAAATTAAACATGAACAAAGATTAAATGTAAACAATGATCTTATTATATAAATAAAAAAATGAGAGACAGTACATTTCTCTTCATCGTATACATATTTATTGTAATTTATTGATTCTTTGTAAATTTACAAGTATATTATTAACTTAAAATTAATATAAATAATAAATAAATAATTTTCAACCTTTTTAGTTGTTATTGCGAGGTCGCGAAAGCAATTTGTTTGCATCCTGTACACTGATATATGATAAAAAAGACAATTCGGGAAATTCTCGTTTTTTATGTGAAAGCATTGTGCATTTTTAAACTACTTGTAACGCTGTAAACAGTTAAAATATTATTTTAATCCTTATAAAAATATTTATAATAAAAATTATATATGTATGCGTATAAGAAGAAAAGAAAGATTACCGAAAAATGATGATAATGTCGAATCTAATGTATCTATACTTACAATTTCGGTCTCCAAAATATACAATAGCGAGGCCAAATAAGTGTTATATCGCAACGTAGACCAAGTCTTCTAGCCACGCTATGAAATATTGTAAATATAATGATAGCTTGACCATGTTTACTTTGTAAAATCTGTGCCAGGTGCAATACAGAATAAATTAATTTAAGCGAGAGTATATTAAGAACAATATATAACATATACATATATATAGCCCATAATTATATATGTATTATAATCTATAACTTACATAATTTATACACAAACATTTGATGTCTACATTACGTGAGTAGCTACATGGTCGAAAGTTCATGGTACCAAATATATATTTCTTAAGTGTATCCATAATCTGCGTACTTTCTGTTTCGTTCCAATGATTATCTTCGATATTGTTGCTTTTCCAATAGGAAAAAGTTTCTTCTGACGTGGAGAATATCGAATGGTTCGGATGCTTCACTCTGAGACAAGTCAGTACCTCTTGTGCGATTGTATCCAATGATGCACTTACATTCGTGTAACATATATCTTCTCGAATTTGAATATATTTTGCCACAAAAGTACAAATTTCTTCCAAAAGCTGTTCTCTTTCAGGTTTCTCTCTATATCTGTCCAACTCATTTCCTATCGAGGATAGCTTTTCATAGTGAGACATTTCTATATTGCAATATCTTTCGATTGATTTGCGATCAATTCCTCTAAAAAATTTATATATAATGAATTATTAACTAATGAATAAATACATTAATTTGTAATAATAGTAGCATTATAATATATATGAAGATCCTACTGGAGAAATGGCGTAAACAAGCATTTAATCTCCTCAATATAAAACATATATTTCAGCTCATCTATAAGCTTATCTGTAGGCTCAAGAAAAAGTATATTTTTATGCAAACGCTTTACATATACATTGAAGTTACCCGAGAATTTTATTACATTATCGAATTTCAATATATTATTGATTGAGCCATTGAAATAATTTTTGTTTGATCTATTATTGTAAAAATAATGGTAAAAAGAATTTGAGACAAATAATTTTGCAATTGTATCGCAGAATTTATGCCTTTTGTGACAAAGTTTATGTTTCCTCCACCCTTTGTTGTATTTAGATTTTCATATCTTCTCTTTGTAATAGGCCATCTAAAACACGACCATAAAATACTGTAATAAATTTTTGATAATGATACAATGTTGTGTTAAGATTAATTTTAAATAAACTAGATAAAAACGAGATAAAAATATGTAAATTTGTTTTAGATTAGATGAAGATAATTTTGTTTTAAGTATGTTTGAAAGTATATCTAATGAAAATAAAATTATATGAAGATTTATGTAAATAAATTTTTAGATAATAATTTTTAATACTGCTTATGTAAACACAGTTATACAAAAAATATAAATTATAAAAGGGATACAACAAGATATGTATTCATATTTTTATTAAAAAATTTTTATCGTTTTACTGTCTATTTTAAGTATTTTTATGTGCTATGATTCTAAACCAAAATTATTTGAATATTATTTTAGATAAATAATATAGTAAAGGTAGTAATTTATAAAAGGTAGTAAATTATATTTACAAATTTTGACTCTAATATGTATATTGCGTAATTCTATATGTGTATTCTACATGCTATTAATAAACATTAATGTTCGTGTGTGTATATTTAAAAATTTTTTAAAATAATTTTTAGAACAATTTTTCCGAAAACATATTTACATTCAATGTTGACTGTGTTTATAAATGTTACTTGGCATGCTTTTACTTTTATGAAAATTTTATTATGATTTCAGTGTTATTTATTAAAACAACCGATAAAAAATATCAATCCTGTTTGTTTTAATGACGAATATATATCAAAAATATAATCTTTATTTTTAAATACAATTAAATATATTGAAGAATACACATTAAAATAAATAAGCAAAGTTAATTTTACATTTTTAGTAATTGAAAATCTAAAAGAAAATATTTAATGACTAAATCTTTGTCGATTGATACAGGCCAATTAATATTTATCTAATTTATCACACAACGTTTTATAGAATATCTGTCGTTCTCAAGTGTACTGTCAAGTGTGCGATGGACCAAAATTATGGTCGAAACTCCGTGGTCGAAACAATGTGTGATTAATTAGACAAACATCAATTGGCAAGTATCGGTCGAAAAATATTTGGTCTTTTAATTTTGACAGTTGAAAATTATGAATTCTTATCAGTATATTTAACGTTTACATTCTATATATATATATATATATATATATATATGTATATGTATATTATATATGTATATATATAACGGTAGAGTTTGCCAAAATTATTGAGCAATAGAAAAAAATGAAAGCGAATAATTTACTATGCAACATAAATGCAACATACCTAATATTTTTAATATTTTTTATTTATTATATATTTATAATATACGTTCTTCGCAGAAGTGATATACATTGTGCGACAGGCGTTAATGAGACAAAATAACAAAAAGATTTACAAACCACAAGAATTACCTTTGAGATAACTTTTTTTCCAAGAACTTGTCATATGTGGCTGCATAACGAAATTGCTTGCACACGCATCGAAAGTTGATGATATCTTCAATAGTGAGTACATTATCGTTGAGAATGTGGCTTATCATCTCCTCTGATAAGCACGTTATCTTATAATTAGACATTATGAGAAACAAAACACAAAAAGGATTGTAAATTAAAGTGATTGCAATAAACTATTCGCGTAATTCCTTGCTTTTTGCAGTACAAGAAATGCGTTTCTTTATTACGAAGAGCACAGATGTGTGTTTGATGTACACGAGAGACGTTTTCCACACTGTAGACGTTCTGTTCTTTATTGTAAAATTTGACCTCAAATTTTAAAGCATTATTGCTTGTTTTCACTAAGATATAAGTATAAGGACTTGCCACGGCATACGCAGAAAATGTAACTTAGAACTAGCAAATTTACCGTTTCTTCCTATGCGCTTGAAAGATAGAACGTGGTAAATAATTCATTTATTATTCATTTTATTATCACTATTTATTTATTTATTGTTCTTTTTATTATTTAAGCTTAATTAAAATATTTTTCAAATTTGTCAATTATTTTAAATTTCACTAATTTTCATGTATTTATATATATTATGCAATATTTAAGTTTAATGAAAATAATATTATTTAAATTAATTATTTTATAAAAATTTACTAATTTTCATATATTTATTTTTACTTTTACAACTGCAGTATGCTGTGCATTGTGTCGACTTTTTATTTTAATTTGGAGTTTTAATAATTTTGTGAAAATCATGGATAAGAGAGAAATATGGATCGCAAATATTGAGTTTGGAACAAAAATGAAAAAATACTTTTACCTAACGCGTGACGTTTATTTTTTGTTCAAAATACAAAATTTGACAAATTTTTGCACAACAATTTTAGATTTGCATGAATTTGCAATAATTCTGAAATTATACTAATATCATACAAAATCTAATATCATTTATAAGCTCATTTATCGTCTCCTTCAATACAAAAAATTATGTATATTTGAAAATATAAAAATCATTGTCTTTTATTAACGTACCTATTTATACTTATACAAATGCAACACACTATCGATTATATAAGTTTCAAAATAATAGATATTAATAGATGGCAAATTTATTACGTCATATTTTGCATATACTTAAAGTGTTAAAAAAGTTATTAAACTAATTAATTTTTTTATTTTAAGATTTATTAATTTTTTTGCACCAATTCAAATTGTTGCAGTCACAAAATTTTCTTACTTTATTATTTATGATAATTAATACAATAAATATCGCAGAAAGATAATAGATATATTTTATTCATCGTTGATTCTCAATTGTCGAACATGTATGTATATATGTACATGTCAATAACATCGCATTTTTTTGTGACCGAATCTGTAGATTGATCTGAGGTGGATTAATATTAAGCTTTCCAACAGTATATTTCACGTTTTCATTTATGTGTTCTACTATTTAAAATAAGACAGAAACTGTAAAATATTTACTTTGATTTTTTTGTGAATAAATGCCTCAATAAACACTTAATTCAAGTTAATATAGAAAATTGTAAATTATACATAATTGTTATCTGAAAATATCTCACAATGCTCTTTATTTTTACAATGGTATATGTTATACACTAACTAGCGATTATGTTAGTGCGCGTATGTTTTTTACACATTACAATTGACTAATCCCAAATAGATTATTATGTGTCAATATAAACGTTTCAACAAATAATTGTATTATGACCAACATCTGAAAAAGTTAATTAAACATGAAAAAAGATTAAATGTAAACAAGAATCTAATTATAATTTAAGAACTGAGAAATGTACATTTCTTTTCTTTCTACACACATATAATGTAATTTATTAATTGCTTGTCAATTTACAAGCATATTAATAACCTAAAATTAATAAAAGTAATAAATAAGTTTCAACCTTTGCAGTTCTTATTTTGATGACTTCATAATATGTACAAGACATGTAATCTGGTAGACAATCATGAAGACAATTCGGGAAATTCTCGTCTTTTATGTAAAAACATCGTTCATTTTCTAAATTATTCATGACGCTATAAATAATTAAAATATTACTTTAATCATTATGAAAATTTTTATAATAAAAATATATATATGTATGCGTATAATAAAAAAAGAAAGATTATCGAAAAATAATGATAATGTCGAATCTAATATATAACTATACTTACAATTTTGATTTCCAAAATATACAGATTTCACCGTAAACATCTATTAGATCGCAACGTAGACCAAGTCTTCTAGCCACGCTATGAAATATTGTATATACAACGATATCATGACCATATTTACTTTGTAATACCTGTGCCAGGTATAATACAGAACAAATTAATCAAAACGAGAGAATATTAAGAACAATATATAATATATACATATATGGCCCATAATTATATATATTATAATCTCTAATAACTTACATAATCTATACAAATCCATTTGATATCTTCGGGTGAAAATGGGGAGATACATGCTCGAAAATTCAAGATGCTAAATATATATTCCTGGAGTGTATCCATAATCTGCGTACTTTCTGTTTCATCCCAATGATTATCTGCGATATTGTTGCTTTTCCAATAGGAAAAAGTTTCTTCAGAAGTGGAGAATATCGAATGGTTCGGATGCTTCACTCTGAGATAATTCAGTACCTCTTGTGCGATTGTATCCAATGATGCACTTACATTCGTGTAACATACATCTTTTCGAGGTTGAATACGTTGTGCTTCGAAAGTACAAACTTCTTCCAAAAGCTGTTCTTTTTCAGGTTTCTCTCTATATCTGTCCAACTCATTTCGTATCGAAGATAGCTTCTCATAGTGAGACATTTCTATATTGCAAAATTCTTGGATTGAATTGCGATCAATTTTCCTAAAAAATATATATATATTAAATTATTAACTAATGAATAAATACAATAAATTGTAATAATAGTAGCATTATAATATATATGAAGATCCTACTGTGGAAATTGTGTTAACAAGCATTTAATCTCCTCAATATAAAACATACATTTCAGCACATTTATAGGCTTACGTGTACGTTCAAAAACAAGTTCATTTTCATTCATACGATTTGCATATTCATCGAAATTATCACTGAATTTCTTTACATCATCGAATTTTAATACTACATTACTAATTGAATCATTGAAATAATTTTGATTTGATATATCATTGTAATAATCATCAAAAAGAATTAGAGACAAATAATTTCGCAATTGTGTCGCAGAATTTATGCCCATTGTAACAAAGTTTATGTTTTCTTCATTTTCTTCTTCCTTAAGACTTTCATATCTTTTCTTCGTAAAGGGCCATCTGAAATACGACCATAAAATATTGTAATAAATTTTTGATAATGAATCTTAGTTAGGGTCGAGATTAATTTAAAATTAGCTGGATAAAGATCCTAAAAAGATAAGGATCCCTTATAAAAGGGATACAACAATATATGTATTTATATTTTTATTTATAAATTTTTATTGTATTTTTGTCTACTTTAGGTAGGTTCTTATGTGCTATGATTTTAAACCAAATTTATCTGAAAATTATTCTAGATAAATAATATAGTAAAGGTAGTACTTTTTTTTATCTATTTGTAAGATGCAGATATAAAGATAATACATATTTATATTATCTATATGCAGATAAGACGATGCCACAGTTCTTCCATTTAGTTTTATTTAGATAACACACAGCAAACTTTGATGATAGTAAACAATGTGATTGCACAAGTAAGTTTTTAAATTAATAAGTTTTTTGAAGTATACAATTCAAAGCATGAGTACATGTATGTCACTTCTTTTTATACTTTAATCAGAAAAATAAAATATATAATAGTCAATTCTAATTTGTAATTTAATTTATACTTTTCAAATTTTGATTTTAATATGTATATTGCATAATTCTATAAGTGTATTCTATATGCAATTAATAAACATTAATGTGCTTATGTGTTTGTATGTATAGATTAAGTTTTTTTTTAATATTGTGTAGAACAATTTTTTCGAAAGCATATTTACAAACAATGCGTCAATTTTGCTTATATATGTCACTTGTTTTTATTTTTATAAAGATTTTATTGTGATTTTTATGTTATTTATAAAAAGAATTGATAGAAAAATATCAAATCTGTTTGTGTCTATCACGAATATATATCATATATATAATTTTTATATTTAAAAATGCAATTAAATATATTGAAAAATACACATTATAATAAATAAACAAAGTTACTTTTATGTTGTATTTTTAATAATTTAATTTAAAAAAAAATTGTTTAATGACTGAATATTTTTCGACTGATATATACATAAGCTAATTAATATTTATTTAATTAATCACACAACGTTTCATATAATTTTTGTTATTCTCAAGTGTTATTGTTAAGTGTACGAAGGACCAAAATTATATCGTCGAAACACCGTGGTCGAAACGTTGTGTGATTAATTAAATAAACATCAATTGACGAATGTTGGTTGAAAAATATTTGCTCTTTTTATTTTTGACAGCCGAGAATTAAGAATTCTTATTAGTATATTATATTTAACGTTTACATTTCATATATATATATATATATATATATGTATTTTTATATTATACATGTATATATATAATGTAGGTAGAGTTTGCTAAAAATATTGAGCAATGTTTGCAAATTGAGAAAAAACGAAAGCGAATAATTTAATATGCAACATAAATGCAACATATCTATTTTTTTTGAATATTTTTTATTATATATTTATTTATAATATACGTTCTTCGCAGAAGTGATATACATTGTGCGACAGGCGTTAATGAGACAAAATAACAAAAAGATTTACAAACCACAAGAATTACCTTTGAGATAACTTTTTTTCCAAGAACTTGTCATATTTGGCTGCATAACGAAATTGCTTGCACACGCATCGAAAGTTAATGATATCTTCAATAGTGAGTACGTTATCGTTGAGAATGTAGCTTATCATCTCCTCTGGTAAGTACGTTATCTTCCAATCAGACATTATGAGAAACAAAACACAAAAAAGGAATGTAAATTAAAGTGATTGCAATAAACTATTCGCGTAATTAATTCTCTGCTTTTTGCAGTACACGAAACGAGTCTGCCGATTACAAAAAGCACAGATGTGTGTTTGATGTACACGAGAGACGTTTCCGCACTACAGACGGTCTGTTCTTTATTATTAAATTTGACCCCAAATTTTATAGTCTTATTGCTTGTTTTCACTAAGATACAGGTATAAGAATTTGTCACGGCATGCGCAGAAAATGTAATTAAGAACTAGCAAAAATTACCACTTTTTCCTGTGCACTTGAAAGATAGAACGTGGTAAATAATTTATTTATTAATTATTCTTTATTATTACTATTTATTTATGTATTGTTCGCTATTTAAGCTTAATTAAAATAATATATTTTTTCAAATTTATCAGTTATATAAAATCTTACTAATTTCCATGTATTTGTATTATTTATTATTTAAGCTTAATTAAAATAATTTTATTTCAAGTAATCATTTATTTTATTAAATTTTACCAACTTTTATGTATGTATATTTTACAATTTACAACTCCAGTGCTGTGCATTATGAAATATTCTCGATAAGAGAGAAAAGGAAAGAGAGAGATTTACATTTTGCATTTTTCAAATCTTTACAGATAAAATTCTCAACTAAAATAAAATTTCCGATTTACAATACGAATATTTAATAAATGATGCATGTACAAATAGTTTATATAAGAATATTTTACAATTATATGTAGTTTTATTCGGGCGTATATATGGGGTGTATATATTTTAGTAATCTAAAATCTACTTTATAAGAATATAAAACTTTATGGATTAAATACAAACTCACAATGAACAGACTATGCGAACTCAACGCAGATGTTTGTGAATAAATCTCAATTTGATATTTTAATTCCTATGTTTCCTTTTGATCTCCCTACAAAGATGTAGAAAAGCAAAATATATCGGTCCAAAAGTCGGCTGAATCGGAAACTGAGGAATTAAAATTGAGATTCTAAAATTGAGATCAATTTGCAAAATCTGAAATTATGCTAATATCATACAAAATCTAATATCATTTATAAGCTTTTATCGTCTCCTTCAATACAAAAGAATTATGTATATTTGAAAATATAAAAATCATTGTCTTTTATTAACATACTTATTTATACTTATACAAATGCAACACACTATCGATTATATATGTTTCAAAATAACTAATTAATTTTTTTATTTTAAGATTTATTAATTCTTCTGCACCAATTCAAATTGTTGCAGTCACAAAATTTTTTTACTTTCTTATTTATATTAATGAATACAATAAATATCGCAGAAAGATAATAGCTATATTTTATTCATCGTTGATTCTCAATTGTCGAACATGTATGTATATATGTATGTGTCAATAACATCCTATTATCTATTATGTTGGTCCGAATCTGTAGATTGATCTGTAGGTGGATTATATATTATGATAATTTCCACAGCATATTTCACGTTTTCATTTATGTTTACTACTATTTAAAATAAGACAGAAACTGTAAAATTTTTACTTTGATTTTTTGTGAATAAATGCCTCAATAAACACTTAAAACACGTTAAATTATCGAAAATTGTAAATTATACATAATTGTTATCTGAAAATATCTCACAATGCTCTTTATTTTTACAATGGTTTATGTTATATACTAACTAGCGATTATGTTAGTGCGCGTATGTTTTTTACACATTACAATTCACTTCGATTAATCCCAATTTGATTATTGTATGTCTTCTTATAATCATTCCAACAAAAATTTTTATCATGTGCAACATCTAAAAAAGTTAATTAAACATGAATAAAGATTGAATGTATACAAAGATCTAATTATAAATTAAGAAATGGGAGATGTACATTTCTTTTCTTTCTATACACATATAATGTAATTTATTAATTGTATAAGTTTCAACCTGTTCAAGTTCTTATTGCGGTGACGTGACGTGTTTCAAAGCACTTGTAACGTGGTAAAAAATCACGAAGACAGTTCGGGTATTTCTGGTTTTTTATGCAAAAACATCGTGCATTTTCTAAATTATTTGTGACGCTGTAAACAATTAAAATATTACCTTTATCATATGAAAATTTTTATAATAAAAAATTATATATGTATGCGTATGATAAAAAAAACAAGATTATCGAGGAATAATGATAATGTCGATTCTAATATATATCTATACTTACAATTTTGATTTCCAAATTATAGAGAATTCATTTTCAATATCTAGTACATCGCAACGTAGACCAAGTCTTCTAGCCACGCTATTAAATATTGTATATACAATGATATCTTGACCAACTTTATTTTGTAAAACCTGTGCCAGGTATAATACAGGACAAATTAATCAAAGCGAGAGAATATTAAAAACAACATATAACGTATACATATATGGCCCATAATTATATATATTATAATTTATAATAACTTACATAATCTATACACAAACATTTGATATTTTCGGGTACGTAGATACATACTCGAAAGTTCAAAGTGCCAAATATATATTCCTGAAGTGTATCTATAATCTGCATACTTTCTGTTTTATTCCAATGATTATCTTCGATATTGTTGGTTTTTCAATAAGAAAAAGTTTCATCAGACGTGGAGAATATTGAATGGTTCGGATGCTTTTTTCTAAGAGAATTCAGTACCTCTTGTGCGATTGTATCCAATGATGCACTTACATTCGTGTAACATACATCTTTTCGAGGTTGAATACGTTGTGCTATGAAAGTACAAATTTCTTCCAAAAGCTGTTTTTTTTCAGGTTTCTCTATATATCTGTCCAACTTATTTTCTATCGAGGATAGCTTCACATAGTGAGACATTTTTATATTGCAATAACTTTCGATTGATTTGCGATTTCTAAAAAATGTATATTGAAGTATTAACTAATGAGTAAATACATTAAATTGTAATAATAGTAGCATTATAATATATATTAAGATCCTACTGTGGAAGTGGTGTTAACAAGCATTTAATCTTCTCAATATAAAACATATATTGCAGCTCATCTATAGGCCCATGTGTACATTCAGAATCAAGTCGATTTCCATACAAACAATTTACATATTTATCGATATTACCTCTGAATTTTTTTACATGTTTTTTGAATTTCAATATAAGTTAAATTGGGTTATCGCGAAGTAATATTCATTTGATCTATTAAAGTAATAATAATCATAAAAAAGAATTAGAAACAAATAATTTCGCACTTCTTTCGTAGAATTTATGTCCATTGTAACAAAGTTTATGTTTTCTTTATCCTTTGTTTTCTGAAGATCTTCATATCTTTTCTTTGCATGGGGCCATCTAAAATACGATCATAAAATATTGTAATAAATTTTTGAAAATGATACTTAGTGTTGTGTCAGGATTAATTTAAAATTAGCTGGATAAAGATGAGATAAAAGTATATCAATTCATCTTAGATAGGATAAAGATGATTTTGTTTTATATATATCTAGATAAAAGATATATATATACATATATAACGATTTATTTAGATAATTATTTACATAATAATTTTTAAGACTGCTTATGTAAACAGTTATACAAGAAATATAAATTATGAAAAAGCTACAACAATATATGTATTCATATATTTATTTATAAATTTTTATCGCTTTACTGTCTACTTTAAGTATTCGTATGTGCTATGATTCTAAACCAAAATTATCTGAATACTATTTTAGATAAATAATATAGTTAAAGTAGTACTTTTTTTTTATCTACTTGTAAGATGCAGATATAAAGATAATACATATTTTTATTATCTATATACAGATAAGATGACGCCACGGTCCTTCCATTTAATTTTATTTAGATAACACACAGGAAACTTTGATAGTAAACAGTGTCATTGTACAAGTAATTTTTCAAATTAATAAAATTTTTAAAGTATACAATTCAAAGCATGAGTATATATATGTCACTTCTTTTTATACTTTAATCAGAAAAAAAATACATAATAATCAATTAATTTGTAATTTAATCTATACTCTCTCTTCTCTCTCTCTTTCCAAATTTTGATTCTAATATGTATATTGCATAATTCTATAAGTGTATTTTATATGCAATTAATAAACATTAATGTGCGTATGTATGTATAGATTAAGTTTTTTTTAATATTTTCTAGAACAATTTTTTCGAAAACATATTTACAATGTCGATTGTGCTTATATATGTCACTTGGCATGTTTTTACTTTTATAAAGATTTTATTGTGATTTCAATGCTATTTATAAAAAAGAACCGATAGAAAAATATCAAATCAGTTTGTTTCTATCACGAATATATATCATATATATTTGTATATTAAAGAATGCAATTAAATATATCAAGAATACACATTATAATAAATAAACCAAGTTACTTTTATGTTGTATTTTTAATAATTAAATCTAAAAAAAAATTATTTAATGACAGAATATTTTTCGACATATATATATATATAGGCTGATTAATATTTATTTAATTAATTACACAACGTTTCATATAATTATTGTTATTCTCAAGTGTTACTGTTAATTGTGCGAAGGACCAAAATTATATGGTCGAAAAACCGTGGTCGAAACATTGTGTGATTAATTAAATAAACATCAATTGACGAATGTGGGTTGAAAAATATTTGGTCTTTTAATTTTTGACAGCTGAAAATTAATAATTATTATCAGTATATTATATTGAACGTTTACATTTCATATATATATATATATATATATATATGTATATTATATATGTATATATATAACGGTAGAGTTTGCCAAAATTATTGAGCAATAGAAAAAAATGAAAGCGAATAATTTAATATGCAACATA